CCAACAATTCCTGTGCTTTCGCCAGTGGACGCCAGCCGAATTTTGCTAAACGTTTTCTATCAAATGACCGAAAAGTAGTATGGAAATGTTCGTCAGAACGAAGCGGTGATTCAGCTTGATTCATATCGATAATACTACCAATTACAGTTTTTAAACCGGAAAACATAAATACACGTCGATTATTTTAAACACTAAAATCGAAATATTTCAAATACGCTTGCGTGTCATTATCAATTAGCATGATCAAACTAATTGATCAGTCAGTTTGCTATTTATAATTACATTACAACCATGCCTCAGACATCCGAACAAGCTTTTTAAAAAAGCATATTTTACTTATACAATATACATGTTGGCAAAAGTGCAGCTATAACTGAAAGGCATTGATTACTATGCATTATAGAATGGAATTATTCCAAAGTTACACGAAGTTATAGTCCCATGTGGTTATAAATCACTAAGGTTTAACTTGATTTATGAGTCAGCTTCCTGTGGACGAACATGCATGTGTCACCTATCAGGCGCTTTATCTCCCACCACGCTTTATAGACGTCCGAATCAGCTCTTTAAATAAGCATATTATTTTATTGTATGTTGACTTTGCATGTTGACTCAATCGAATGAAGCATGCTTTCCACTATTAAATAAGAATCATGCTTTCCACTTTAAATAAGAATCATGCTTTACACTTTAAATAAGAATCATGCTTTCCACTATTAAATAAGAATCATGCTTTCCACTTTAAATAAGAATCATGCTTTCCACTTTAAATAAGAATCATGCTTTCCACTTTAAATAAGAATCATGCTTTCCACTATTAAATAAGAATCATGCTTTCCACTTTAAATAAGAATCATGCTTTCCACTTTAAATAAGAATCATGCTTTCCACTTTAAATAAGAATCATGCTTTCCACTATTCTATAAAAATTGATGAAATATTGTATTTCATGTTAAATAAATAAATGCAATACCTGCGTACTAGCAGAAGTAGAAATAAACTATGAGATGAGAAGGTTTGTATATACTTGAAAATTTTGAGGATAATAGTATATATAAATATAAAAATTTAGTTAGCCTCACTGCCTCACCAACCATGTCTAAAATGTTCGCATTATCGAACTTTATGTTGGAGTGTATCATGTAAATATTCCGCTAACTTGGATTTGTTTTGTCTCCCCAATGTTTCACAACAAATGTATATATTTTCTATTTCTGTCGCGCTTGCATACAAGCTCAAGGAGTTTTTTTAAGTTTCACATACGTTTTCATCACTGAACAATGAACACGATGTTGAAAGTCGTTACAATCTGATGAGGTATGGTTAAAACATGTGTCTTGAACTTTTTATTGTAAATATTTGGCAAAAATTCGCTTGACTTTTAAAATAAAATGCGAGGTAAACACACAAAAAGTTGTAAGCGCCAGCGCTTATTCTAGTCAGCAACACTCGATTTTTCGTTATTGCGCATGCGATAAATCTCCAAGAATCTTGGAGATTCCTTCGAATTTGACCAGGGTCTTCGTTGGCCTTTCCACTCACCATGAACACAGAAGACCCTAAGCACGAGGTTGCACAGTCGCATTTCTGTGCGGAACATTCGCACTTGTATGCAGCACAGTCGCATTTCTATCCAGCACATTCGCACTTTTGCCGACCATGACTCTGATCAATGGTAAGTGGTAACCATTTTATTTGGTTCAACTTCAGTACAGATTATTTCGAAAAATGGCGGCTTTTGAAAGGGGGCCACTTCATGCAATTAGCACAACGAGCAATGCATATTGCATCGCATGAGATAATCGCGAATAACACTAGATAGCTTTGACGCACAGGACAGTGCCGGCATCCCAAAGTTCAACAAAAGAACGCGTCTTGGAAACTGAACCCAAGTGTAAAAATAACAAATGTTTCATTATCACATAATCCCTGGTGGACAAAACGCACAGCAGGTATTCGATTGGTTTATTTTATTAGGGCCTTCCAAAATAGATTCGGAGAATTCAATAATCGCTAATTTCTTGTAATATGATTTATTTATGTTTTGCTCAAGTAAGATCAGATCAGATAAAATAAATTGAAATAAGTCAAATCGAACCGGAGATTATCCCAGCCACTTTTGAAGTAATTTTTTATTAAAAAAATTATTTTTTACTCTATAAGATTTCAGATATATCTATATTCCAAAAGTTTAGCATGCAATATTTTAATCAACTTAAGTCATACATTCTTAATTAATAAGGTCGTGGTAATATAACCTTAATACTAAATCATTATTGTCAGTTACCGGCCAGTATACATGATTACTTGTTTGGACACTTAGGCATGCAACATTTAGCTGTCCAAAAATTGTAAGAGAAATTGCAATCGTGCATAGTAAGATCGTCGCTGAGACGATTAAGAAAAGATACAGCACAATCTTCATAACAGACTTTTCTTGCAGATGGCATAAACTTGCAACTAATAATCGAGTCAAGACCACAATTATGAAGCATGTTACCCGAATAAGCCTCTGGACATAATAGTGGAAAGTGAATTGAACGTTTTCTTCTACTGTCAATTCTTTCTACAATGTGGGAAGAGAAGAAAAGTGATGAGAAAATACGTAGTAGCCAATGTGAGTGTTTGTAAAGTTTAAATTTGAAAAATACATATGAATGGAAGATTAAGATTACGGATGAGTGATGAACGATACCGAAGAGGATGAAAGGGGAAGATATATAATCCATAGGCTACCAAGTATTTTAAAAAGGTAGGTGTCCATTTTGACGTGATTTTGTTGATTCGTAATTTGAATGATTTATTATAAGATGCAGTTGAATGTTTGCTATAATTTGAATATTTCAACTTCAAAAGGGTTTTTGAATTGTCTTTCGTATCCCTAACATTATTTTTCCATACGGTCAGACGGCCCTGACCGTTTCTTCAATCAATTTAAATACAACTATCATTCTCATGAGACAGTTCAAGCATATATACGAAGTATATTAAACTTGATCAGTTGGTCGAACGTCAAAAAAACCTAAAGCGAGTAATTCGATTATCAAAACGTTGCGAAACGGCTGCTCTATATTATATTAAACAGTGGGCGAGGTCAACGTTGTATTTAGCAAGTTAAAAGCAACGACGTCCAATATTTCCTTTCTAGGCAGAAAATACTGATTTCCTTGCAGGGTCACGTAGCCAGGCTGACAGCTAAGCATTGCTGTGCAAATTATATGTTATTATCCTTATTCATTATTCATTTCTTTAGAAATTCACAGTTTTTACAGTCAATGAACACCAAAATATTAGCATAGCATGACTAAATTATCTCGCTGGCTACGCCACTGCCAATTGGTATGGCCACAAACGTTTTGTTCAGGATCGGTCAAAACTACTCAAAGTCTCAAACCACTTAATATACATACCAAACGATTTCGTAAATAATTCTTGTACGTACGTCTGGAAGTCATCTACAAAGCGTAAACAATATTTTCATTTTTATGATAAATTTTGTAAAATGTTTTAAAGTTTTTAACTGAATTGTTTAAAAAAATTATGAAAATCTTTAAAGCAAATTAGGGTGAAGAGTCTAATAGGAACGAAGGCAAACGAAGGGGCAATGCACAGCCAATTTTGTTCTATTTAGGTGATGGGAACATTTCAGCATATAAGTGCTTTCTAATTATTTCCATACCATTTTTATCTTTGGCAATTTCTTTCATACTGTAAACAGGAAGTCTGCCGCAAAATTTTACCACGTGTGGTTTCAAATCTTTTGTCTCCAATCGTTTATCAATGGTCCATTCAGATGCACTAGCACCCAACAAACCAGATTTTCCATCCAACGAGGCATTCAATCTTTTTAACTATGTATACGGAGAAAAAATCGATCCTATTGATAACGGGTTGTATGACACAGCTGTATGTGATTAGTTAGGACAGACATTCATATTCGTGTAGTCGTTCTGTCCATTTTCTTGCCTTAGCGCTTGACAATCTCACGACTCTTAACATTTACAAGTAGACGTGACAGAACCTACGGGCGTTTGATAAAACTTTTAAGGCGCTGTTATACTATGTAACTTCCTTGCACCATCAATGCAATTCTACTCCTGAAGCATCTAAAGTTTACAAATACGAACAGCTCTTACGACCTGCTAGCCTCTCAAATATCACAATTTCATTGTAATTAAGTTGCAAGGAAAATTATATAGTGTAACAGCGTGTCGGCGTCTTTATAGTATCCGCCTAGTATTATCGCGTTAAAGACTGGCCATGTGCACTTGTTGAGTGCGTAGCGGTTCTGGTGGACCTATATAGAAACTGCAGGCGACCACAAATTGAAATTGTGCATTCAATAATACAATATTATGAATAATTAGAACATCGGTAAACAGAACGAGAGATATAGGCATGTTTTGTGGAAATTTTAAAGTCGATTGAAAAACGATATCTCCAGTTTGATCTAAACGGATTACCAGTTTTATTCTTAAAATTGGACTGGATTCTGATAAAAAATGTAAAAAACGGATTTAAAGAGCTCAAACCGATCCAACGTACACCATTAATTTAGAAATAGTTACGGGTGAAGTTTTGTTAACTTACAAAATCCATATAAGCCTTCAATTTTCCAGGATTTGGCAAATTTTTCTCCAGTGGTTTGATGTGACATATGCCCACATCAGGTACGCGGGTAATTGTTAAGCCCTGTAAGAATTAAAATACATTGCAAAGATATAAGATGGTAAAAATTGTGGGCATTGCTTTCAATCAATCGATCAATCAATGAAAAAAAAGTATATTCAGATAAAATCAATTACCAGGCTGAAGTCGTTCAGAACTTCTTTGTACTTTTGTACTATAAACGAGGTAGTATTATCTTTCACACTGATCTTCTCATTAAAATAACGAGTTCCTTCCTCATCCATCTAGAAATACACAATTAAAAAAAAAACTAAATTTCCATGTAGCTACAATTACAGTATAATGAAATAGTAGAAATAGTATTCTCAAACCTTGCAATTCACGACGGAAAATAACTTAACAATTACCAACAGACAAAAAGCAAAGAATACACTGTAAATTCAAAAGAGTCGTTTTGACCAGGGCGAGTCATTTCAACACCTTTATTCAAAATGTCATTTTTACTCCTCTAATGTGTCGTTTCGACTCTAATAGTCGTTTTAACTCCGACATTGGGTTAAAATGACAATTTGGAGGACTCGTTTAGTTCTTTTGAAGGGTCACAAGACTCTCGCAAGAGTCAATAGACTCTTAAGTAGAGTTCACATGGAGTCATGTGACTCGTTCTTGGAGCCATATGATTCTTTGTAAGAGTGGTTGAACTCTTTCTTAGAGTCATTCTGGCTTTTATAACAGCCACTTATATACAAAACAAATAATTTGCATGTTTAAAATATTAAATTGAAGTCATTAGGCATGTTATATGTATTCCAAATCCTTTGTATTTGAAGCAAATAACCAGTCAACACATTAAAAAAATACTCAATTATTTTGACACAAACACACTTGATATTAGTTGTTATCGTTTCTTCATGTATCGAGAAAGTCTTATAACTGTCTATTTGTAAGTTAGTTGTGGAACCCCGTTATTGGAGACATATCTCTGTGTGGTGATTCCAGCCATTGCATGTGTGTAGTTCATTTGTAGTTTATGTGTAGTTCATTCTAACTTTTTAACATGGCAAATTTATAAAATAAAATAAATATAAAAAAATATATTACACTGCATGTATATAGGTTTTAAATTTCTGGAAAATGTCAGCTGGACAGGATATGCACACATAAAAATATATTATACATAAATCCATTTTAATAGTTCTGACTCATTGATAAGTATATGCTGATATCAAAAATGACAAATAATCAACAAACGTTCTGATTGGCTAAGACAGAAAGTTTGAATTTCAACGAGAACGTCAGCAATTTAACTGTCATTTCGTAAACCTTTTTGTAAAAGCGTTTCATAAACTTTGTGCAAAGTAAAACGGGAAGAAACAAGATATGTGAAGCATGACAGATACCAAAGATGAACAGGGATACAATCAAGACCGAAAGCCGTGTAAGAGAAATAACTCATAATCTGCAAGCTTATTGTTGTTTTCAAAGGGTGCGTGTTTACTTTGTTTCTTTCGTATTTGCTTCGCAGTAAGGATGAGCTGTATTTGTATAATTTTCAGCTTTGTATGCCGTTTATTTGTTTAATTTTCAGCTTTTTATGCAAACGGATAAACCTGTGAAAGGCTATTACACCTTTGCTATAACTTCAAAAAGTGTTTTTGAAAGTGTAATTTGAATTTTGCTATAAAAAATACACACTATGTCTATGAAGTATAAAACGTTTAGCCGTCGACTGTAATTACAGAATAAAATAACATTTGAGGCTTTTTCTTTGTCTCTGAAGTTTTCTACTGTTTTAATCGTTTGAAACTTCGATTTTAAACCATTACTTAATTAATTGCTGCTAACATATGGCCATTTACCATATTTTAATTTTAAAAATGTATATCCAACCCATTTTTTAAAGACACCGGACATTTGACAGATGGCCTGTTGGCCGATATTTTAAAGCCTGCATGCTTATATATAGATATTTATTATATATAATTTCTCTTCAAAGCAACATATTTGCGGAATGCATGTATGGTATGCTGTAATACTCACTGCATATACATTATTAAACATCGTTTACTCAAACTCTGCTTTTGTATTATATGCAAGCTTCATGAAACTAATATTGGTGTACAGTACTATAGTAAAATTGATGCCACAGAATAGTCGTAATGACCTCAAATAAGAGTAAAATCGATGTCAAAAAGGAGTGGAAATGACTCCAAATAAGAGCAAAAACGATGCTAAAGAAGAGTTCAAATGACCCGAAATAAGAGTACATTGATGCCAAGGAAGAGTTGAAATGACTCCAAATAAGAGAAAAATCGATGCCAAAAAGGAGTCAAAATGACTCCAAATGAGAGTAAAATCGATGCTAAAGAAGAGTCGAATGACTCCAAATAAGAGTAATATTGATGCTAAAAGAAGAGTCGAATGACTCCAAGTAAGAGTAATATTGATGCCACTAAATAGCCGTAATGACCCCAAATAAGAGTAAAATCGATGCTAAAGAAGAGTCGAATGACTCCAAATAAGAGTAATATTGATGCCACAGAATAGTCGTAATGACCCCAAATAAGAGTAAAATCGATGACAAAAAGGAGTCGAAATGACTCCAAATAAGAGTAAAATTGATGCCAAAGTAGAGTCAAAAATCAAAATGACTCTTTTAAAACGACACTTTTGAGGAGTTAATTTGACTCTAGTTAAAGGGTTAAAATGACTCTTTACAGGTGTCAACCCAAAATGAGTCAAAATGACTCTCTTCAAGGAGTCGTCCTGGGGTCAAGAAAACGACTCCTTTGAAGGAGTCAAAATGACTCTTTTGAATTAACAGTGTATTGTTGACTTATTCATTATACTTTTTCAACAAAACCGCTTTATGAAACTTTATGGGTATTCAAATACTCTGAAGACATATACAGCGGCAAGAATATGAAGACTAAAATTCGTCTCAACCTGCATTTATAGCAGCGCTTTTCAGCATGATCTCTAGCTTAGTTTGTTGATTGCCGGCGGACGTCTGAAACGTGGTGGGAAGAATCCGCCATGCTTCAGACGACCTGGAAATGAAGTTTGATTTTGCACGTGGCAAGCAGACTTTCGATTTGACTCAAATTCGCACTGAGACGGAACTACTTCAGAAAATATCATAGCTTCACCGGACAACACTGGACAACTATATAGTAAACTTCCACAATGTTTCCGCGTCGTAGCTAGTAAGCATGCAGTGGCGTAACTACTAACTAGAACGATAAGGAAAGGGAATGTTAATTCACTCTTCTGCCCGACGGATTTTTTTGTGAATTCTCTGCTAATATCTTGATAAACATACACTGCTTAAACTGAAACAATTTACGTCAAATCGCAAGCGGATACAAAAGTCTGATCTTGATTCAACTCGGGTCATACTTTGCAATACAATGCGGAGACTGGTACATTTCAATAGATCGGCCAGTGCGACAAGGACTGCCGCTGATTCAAGTTAGATCATATTGCAATAAATTGTTGAAACGGATACACATATACAACGGATACAACTAATGCTAGAAATTTAGGACCAGTCGTTAGCCTGCGTGTATATGATTAAAATTAAATTAGTTGAATATATGTATGTTTTAATATTTAATTAAATACATATGTTAACATTGCTATAGAATTGGCAGGCATACGCCGTCGATCCTGTCCCTGTATATGCAACACCGTGAAGGCCGTTTAGACTAAATATTAATGGTGACTGATGCGCTAATTAAACTGATTATGTACTTATTCAATTAATATTGTATTGTAATATTGTAGAACGTATTGAGGTAATTAACTAAGTATTTAAATTGTTTCCGAATCCACTGAAAGGTGAGGTTAGATCGAGTGTGGCGACAACAAAAGTGTATCATCGCTTGACCAGAATTTCAATGATTACTATCCTTATTATTCTCTGCTTCAAATCCACTTTTCATTTATTCCGCGGTATAACTATGGCATGGTTTCCAACCATACAGTTTTAACAGTGGTTGGTAGGAGTTTCTTCAGTTATGAACTGCCGCAGTTCATCCAACTGCCTATGGTAGATGGCATCTAACAGTAGATGGGGTGTCTATAATGTAATGGCCCTGTGAGCATGTCCGTTTCAGAAGTGTATGGGTGGCAGGATGAAGAATAATATGCCAGTTTACTCATGATTGACCTTTGACTCTTTAAGCTTCTAGATATATTGATTCCAAAGATTTGATGTTTTTGCATGGGTGCATCTACGATAGGTTTGATGTAGATGTTGAACAGTACGTCAAATTCACGTCACAAGATGGTCAGTTAAGAAATTTCGGTGCAATGAATTTTGCGCTACCGTTGCTTGGTATACTACAGGTTGAGTCAAAAACTGACACCTTTGAAATTCAAATTAGCCGCAAACTTATGGCTGGAATTTGACAATTATATTTTAGGCAACTTCTGTCACATTACAGCCGATCACAGACACATTGCAGCTAATTTGAATTTCAAAGGTGTCAGTTTTTTTACTTATACCCTGTTATGTTGAAATCCCCATGCCTCTTGTCTCGCGTAATATCCAGCATAATACAGGGTCTTCATTGTTTTACTTAGACGTCTTTCATACTTCCGCTAAGATCCTTATGGATTATACTGATTAGTATTTGTAGGTATCTCCAGAAGCCGGTTGTTCGTACGGCGTTTAACTTAAACGGTTGATAAGCCAAAATTTAAAAATGCTCTCGTAGATCTCGTGAATGACTGAACCTGCATCTTATGCATTAAATATGTTCTTCCATTGACAACTAAACTATTTACATCGAAATATTTCTGCTCAATTGCCCATAAATAGATAATTTTGTATTCCATTTTTAACTTATCCGCCGTTTAAGCTAAACGCCTTTCGAACAACCGGTCCCATGAGCGTAAATATAGAACGATCATTGGGGGGGGGGGGGTGAATACTCGTATAATGCAACATTGCACTCACAGAAGAAGTCCGTCGGGCAGAACTCGATATATTATCGTTCTACATAGTTATCATTCCATTATGGCGGGTGCAATGTGACATACTTCTTAGTTTATGCTGACACTAGAGAAGCTATGGAAGGGAGCTATATTGATCTATTTTCTGAATGTATATATGTTAGTAGTGTCGGACAATGCTGGCAGTCTTTATTGATCAGCATTATAGAACTGATTAATTGGTTTTAAGAAAACTTATTCTATTGCCGGTTTGTTGGCATAAGTGAAACTAACTGAAAGACATATCAACCCATTATGCATTATATTATAAAAAGCAACTATTCCAGATTTAGCAATAAGGTCTGTAAAATCACCATGCACGGTCTAACCTCGAGTTGATAACGCGAAAAATGTATGTCAGGATAACGAATTTGCCATCATATATGTTTATGATCTATTGATCGTCTGAAAATGCGCGGGAATTGTAAAAAATCTGGCAAAATATCAACGTGTTGATGCGCCAACAATTCCTATACTTTCGCCAGTGGACATATAGCAACTTTAATCGCCGTTTTCTATCAAATGACCTAAATGTAGTATCGAAATGTTCGTCAGAACGAAGCGGTGATTCAGCTCGATTCATATCGATAATGCTACTAATTACAGTTTTTAAACAGGCAAATATCGATAAAAGTGGGTTATTTTTAAACACCAAAATCGAAATATTTCCAATACGCTTGCGTGTCATTATCAATCAGCATGATCTAACTAATTGATGAGTCAGTTTGCTGTTTATAATTACATTCCCAACCGCACTTCAGACATCCGAACAAGCTTTTTAAAAAAGCATATTTCATTGTATACAATATACATGTTGGCAAAAGTGCAGCTATAACTGAAAGGCATCGACCACTGTGCATTATAGAAAGCAATTATTCCAGAGTTATACATAGTTATAGTCCCATGTGGTTATAAATCACTACGGTTTAACTTGATTTTCGAGTCAGCTTCCTGTGGACGAACATGTGTCACCTATCAGGCCCTTTATCTCCCACCACGCTTTAGACGTCCGAATCAGCGCTTTAAAATAAATAAGCATATTTTATTGTTGACTTTACAAAGAGACTAACCACCATGCTTCAGACGTCCGGCAATGGATGATATAACGAGTTTCAGATTTGACACCTCTACCAGTACCGCTAGGCGCTAGCATTAGGTAACATAAATCAATCAAATTCAATAAGTCTATTAAATCGACCAATCACAAGTGCAAACATCAGCGAAAGTTGTAATAGTGGAAGTCCAATCTGAATCTCGCTAATTAGATTATGATGCAGAAGTGAAGGTATATAAACAGGTCAGGCCTTGAGACGAGTTTTATTCTTCATGTGCTTCTAGTCTGCGAGTCCTCGCAATTTTTGGATACTCATAAAGTTTCAGAAAAAAGGTTTTGTCGCAAAAGGAAGAAATGAACAAGACAGCCGCAATAGTTCTCCTTTGTACTCTTTTGGTGATCCTTGAGTTGTATTCTGTCGTTAGTTTCAAGGTTTGGGAATACGTTGATTGTGTGGGAATACGATGTGAATTTTATATTATTCTCTTACTGTATATTGCACATGAAAGTGAAGTTTTTAAGAAATATTATCGTGTATTTCTAGGCGAACGAGGCGCAATTTAAAATGCGTATAAATGAAAGAGGAACTCGTTTTACTGAGAAGATCCGAGTCAATGAAATCGAGAATACCATTTTATTCACGGTACCAAAGCACAACAACGTGAATCGTTCTGAAGTGCTGAACGACTTCAAACTGGTAAAATAATAAAATATATGTATTTCGATTAAATGAACTACTTTTTGCCTGAAAGAGCATCATGTCTACAATTATTTATCTAAGGCCACACCTGATGGTTATTTGTTTAATTACAGGGCTTAACAATCACCCGCGTACCTGACGTTGGTATGTGTCACATCAAACCACTGGAGAAAAACCTGCCAAATCCTGGAAAATTGAAAGCTGACATGAATTTTGTGAGTTATTCAAAAAAGTACAAATTCCGCAATGCCCTGTCTTTCATAAAAAAATAATATATACGTAAATACGTAATATGCATATATTTTTTCAATTTATGCATGGAAATCAGACGCAGATTAACAGATGCAGATCTATAATTACACTATATATATATACATTGATCATATCCTGTGGTTATGTACTTAACTAAGTTGGTGTTTAGTTAGCTACATGTCATCATCTCTGCATGCTTAATTAGCACTTCATTTGGGTCCCCTTCCGTCAGCAATAGTTTTTCCTCTAAACATAGGTTACATCACTTTGACCCTGGGCTGTATGTAGTTACGCGTTTGATGACTGACCATTTGATTGTGAATGTCTGATTAATGGCCAAAATTCTGCCTAACTTTTTCACAATTGTTTATATCAATTGATTATGATTATGAATTCGACTTAACGTTTGTTACTATCCTTTAAGCGAAAGCTTACTTACCCACCCACTCATAAATAGAATTTACTTAATCAAACTCTAAATATATTTTAGCTAATTCACATTTTCTCTCGTTATCAAGATAAAGCATTTCAACATCTCTGGCGGAAAACCTGTCGTGTCGACGAGTTCTTCTAAATGGACCATTGATCGGCAACTAGAAACTAAGTATTTGAAACCTTCCGTAGCAAAATTCTGTGGTGATCTGCCTGTTTATAGTCTGAAAGAAATAACCGAAAATGGTCTGGAGGTTATGCAAGGAAATGGTATGCAATAATAACCTCTTTGAACTAAATATCCGTCATTTGAAATCAATTGTTTCAATTTTGACAAATCTACAAGAAAGCTTACAAGCAATACATAAAAATGCATCTAGCTCTTTCTTCTTTATAATATTATGATCTTGTGAATTGTGAAGGAAGAAGAAAGAATTCTATACAATGTGTTTCGAAAAATTATGCCTTTTGAAAAAAAATTGCACTAGTGACTTCAGGTTAAAACTATTACCCAAAGTTTCGAGGGAATGACTAAATAAAATTTTAAACCTTTATCTATCGGAAATGTACAACCAGCAGTGTAACTGATTTGCATATCTATTCAAATCTTATTTCATTCTACAAGTTGTTTACAACACTCGCGTCCGTGTTGTATTGAATATACGGTCCCTCCTGTTGTGAACATTACCAATTTATGAATAAAAAGAACTGATATATTTTTCGCTCCAAGCCGGTTGTTCAAACGGCCACCGCAAAGAAAGTAGCAAATTGTACATGTGATACACGGTTTTCTCCTCTTTTCAACTCTGTAGACACTGGAAGCAGGAGACAGCGCCGCGGCTTGACCATTCAATTATGCCCAGAAGCCCTATCAGGTGTGAAAAATCAGAAAATGATTTGTAATCCTAACCATTGGATATGGAATTGCAAGTTTGATGTAGCTGGGACCTGCGTCTATTTTATGAAGTGCAAAGTCCCGGCGGAATTTATCAAAAATAACATTACGAACTGTGAATTTACGCACCGATGGAATTCAGTTATGTGTTGTATTCCTATCTGCTCTTCCGGCGTAGTAACACGGCAGAACTAATGAGTAACAATTTAGTGTTAGTAACTATAATGTTATTGAAATGAAGAAATAAAGACGTACAAAGCATCTGCTTTACTTTTTGCATAAATGGGAAAAACGAAAAGCCTGGGCAGAAAGACATAGCATTGTTTCCATTTCAGAACTTTTCTTTCATACCAGAACTTTGAAGACATAAGTGGGGAAAGGTTCCCCGTGAACAGCTTTTGAACATTGAGCCAATTTATATAAAATATATATAAATTTAAGTTAATGGAGCAATGCTCGTGGCAGGGCAAAGGGCAATTTTAATGCAACTTCAGGTTATCACCAATAAAATATGCGGCCGATAGTGATGAAAGGTCATCCGGTTTAGATTAGGTCTGAAATATGAAAGGTTACTTTGTATATTCATCTTTGGTGCATGTGCACAGCAGATGACACAAAATTCCTACAACCAATCAGAAGATTACCTGCGTAATTTGACATGAATTTAACAAATTAAAAACCAGGAATACGAACACAAAAGGCAAAGCATGCTTGCTGAAAGTCATTGTGCTCTAAAGTTCCAACGAGGCACACTACAGGTTTACAAAGCTGCGAAACTTTTATTCCTACATTGCTTATAAATTTTTGAAACTGACTGCACTTTCAGAAATGCAGCAGGCGTAAATTCAGTCGATCGTCTCTAGGTGTGTTGAACAAGCAGCGACCGAGATAGCGTCCAACGCAGCCCGGGCTGCCGTCCAAGCAATGTTAAACTCGACGTCTTGTGCCAGTGAAAGCAACGCGGCCAACAACATAATTCCAGCCGTCCCAGCCGAAAGCGACGCGCACGAAGGCGATAATATTCCCACACTAATCACAAATCAGGCGACCAACGCTACACAGCGAATTCCCTACGGAGATGGCTTGCACGAGGCCTGCGACATATGTCAAGCAAATACAGTCAGGTGAGTTCTTTGATCTAGCTAAACTTTTGCCTAAAAATATGTCGATGGGTAACCAGTCCGATGAGCCCTTAATCTTAACGCTTGACAACACGGTGATTAAGGCGAAAAAAGCATCTCAGCCAACCGCTAGAATCACCAATATTGAACAGTGGACAGCCACGTACACCTCGTACATGAGCGTTTTAACCATCAATTTCCTGGTCGGGCCCAAGAACTTATCCAATATATGAGTTTGATACGCTATGCAGGGTATCTCTTCCCCTCCATCAAACCCAAACAAGTTGAGAATAATGAGCACATCTCAAAACAAGATGTCAAAAAACGTCAAGATCAAAACGTGACTGACGTATTACCATTACCTACCCCTGTTTCTGTCCAAAACCTAGATGAAGCCCTGTCTGGTCACCCAGACAAAAGTTTTGTTTCAGAGCTTTGTAACATTTTTACTCACGGTGTGCACATAGGTTCTCAGGGGCAACACACTGCCCGGTTTTCAAAAAAATTGCCTAGTGCTGTTGCCAATCCGGTAATCGTTTCCTCGAATCTTATAGCAACTGAAGTTTCTCTTGGTCGCATGGCTGGCTCTTTTGACTCTCCCCTTTTCAGAATTTTCAGGTTTCACCAATTGGCTTGGTACCTAAAAAGAATTCAAACAAATTTCGCACAATTTTTCATTTGGCTTATCCGAAATCCGGCTCAACCAGCATAAATTATAGCATTTCGAATAAAGACTTCAGTCTCCAGTATATTACAATAGACGATGCTATCAAGGGTATTCAGCGTTTCGGCTCAGGCTGCTTTCTTGCTAAAACCGACATTGAATCAGCTTTTAGGCAAGTACCAATCCATCCTGATGACTACGAGCTGCTAGGCATGTGCTGGAAGGGGAAATATTATTATGATAAAGTTCTACCATTTTGGTTACGGAGTGCCCCATCCATCTTTAACCGACTTCCAGAAGCCCTGGAATGGATTCTACTCAGTACTCCATAACTGTAACATCTCATTTGTCTGTCATATTCTTGATGATTTTCTTCTCATTGAGCCCCCAGCAGATGCACCGCTTTTGGATGGGGTTTGCCAGCAAAATTTAAAAAAAATGTTATCTACCTTCGGAAACATCAATATTCCAATAGCCCCAGGGAAAACGCAGGGCCCCTCGCAAGTACTCGAGTTTTTAGGCATCCTATTAGACACGGTAAACATGAAAGTTAGTCTACCTCCAGACAAAATTGAGAGGCTGCAGGCAATCTTTCAACAATTTCAACACAGACGGTCCTGTACTCTAAAAGAATTACAGTCTTTAAAGCCCGGATTCCACGGGCGAAATTTTCAAGCGAAATGCGAAGTAATTCGCCTGTTCCTTTTGAATTGTGAGCAATCAAGCAGAATTAATATATTCAAGTGGTTATACAATTTAAAAGAACCATGTGAAATACTTCGCATTTCGCCAAGAAAAAGCGCCCGTGGAATCGGGCCCTAATAGGCACCCTCAACTTTGCATGGAAGGTAGTGTCCTCTGGGCGGCCCTTCTTACAACGTCTGATTGCTCTAACAAGAAATATCAAGAAAGCCCATCACCACATTAAGCTAAATTCTGGTTTCTTCCAAGATCTTGAAATGTGGTAGAAATTTCTTTCTGTCTTCAGAGTGCCAGGCATGACTCTGATACTTTAGTGCTACATACTGATGCCTCTGGCTCATTGGGGTTTTTGGGCAGAAGTGGTTTCAGGGAGCATGGAAACTAAATCAAAAACTAGGTCAGCCTGGTATAAGTATATCTTGGCAGGAGTTCTTTGCAATAGTTGTAGCATGTCATATCTGGGGTGACCTCCTTAGGGACCGCCGGATCAAGTTTCATTGTGATAATTAGGCTGTGGTGACGATTATTAATACTAAACGTTCCCGAATCCCAAGGGTTATGGACTTACTGCGTCATCTAACACTCCTAACCTTGCGCCACAATATATACATCCGTGCCACGCATATATTCCGGGAAAACACAATGACATAGCCGATGCAATTTCTCGTTTTCAATTGCAGAGGTTTCGACAATTGGCTCCAGTCTCCAGATGCGGATACAAGTCCTTGCCAAATTCCAGGAATTGTAATGACTCTCTGAATGAGGACATCCAACATTATATTAGTTTATCTCTTGCATCTGCAACACAACAAACCCGGCTATAGTTCTGGAGAAAAGCGTTTCATTACATTCATCCAGTTATACATGCAAGAGAAAAAATATCGAGCAGATTCTACCAGCTGATGAAGCTCTCTTGACAGAATTCGTTGCATTTCTTGCAAAATCTATCAAATATCCTTCCATAAAAACATTTCTAGCAGCAGTCCGCCATTACCACATTCGGCACGGTTTCCAGTTGAATTTGCACAAAATGCTACGCCTGCAACTTGTGTTACGAGGAATTAAACGCTCCTATGGAGACAAAACTAGAGTCCGGCTCCCAATCACAATCCACCTTTTGCGGCTTTTTAGAATGTTACTTGGCATATCCAACACCCCAAGTTTTGACTCCCTGATGATCTGGGCAGCCATGAATGACATTAGCCTTTTTTGGGTTTCTCCGTCTCGGAGAGCTAACATGCATGCAACTGTAAATTCAATCCGAACATACATCTTACCCGAGATAGCATCCTCTTTGCACCCAGAACGGGCACAAATGGTCCCGATTTAATAACAGGACAAGGAGTCCAAGACTGACCCATTTCCCCTGGGTCATACTATAACAGTCGGGGCCACTAATTCGGATATTTGTCCAGTACAAGCGTTACAAAACTATCTGTCGCTACAACCATCCACAAATTGCCCTCTGTTTATCCTTGCATCGGGAAAACCTCTCACGAAACAAAATTTAACCACCGAAACTAGGATGCTGCTCACTAAATCTGGCTTCGCGGCTTTGAATTATGCTGGTCATAGCTACAGAATAGGTGCGGCAACAACTGCAGCAGAAGCCAAATACCATCATTGCTTATTAAAATCTTAGGGTACTGGTCATCTGACGCTATGAACGTTATATTGAGACACCTACTTCTACGTTATCAGGAGTATCAGCGATGCTGGCCAACACTAGTACGTAAATATATTGCAAAAAGAGAGAATAATATTATACTAAAAAATTTGTGTATGCGGTGTGCGCATATATCTTCATATATGCCTATTTATATGTCTTGTACAATTTGCATTTTGTGTGGGCCTTTTTTCGTCTATAGGGAATACACTTTGTGTATTTGTGGGGTTGAAGTGCTCCCAATGATCACCTTCAGGCCCATAGACTCAAATTACCTTAATGTATATATATTCAGTCGAATCGTAGGGACTGGCCAAGGGGATTATGACCTCGTGGTTCAGGTTGATGTTAGATGGGGTCGCGACCCTTCTAGCAGGGCTCTATTGGGGATTATCACCCCTATATAGGGCATTCAGTTTCTCCTAGTGGGGCTTATAGATCCCCCACAGGAGGAAAGCATAAGGCCTTAATGAATCTTTTGGGATTGGTTCGTCCAGGGCGCTGTAAAACACGGGCGTGGAAACGCGCTCATTATGACCTGATCTTGTTTAACAAGAAAAGCAAGAAGTCAAGCGAAATCATGGCGGCAAAAAGAAGTTTATGCAACTTTGGGAAACAGGGTGATGAGAGAGGTAAGATTTACTTTTATTTGAAATTGGCATATTAATTTTCAAAAAAAATATTCCCTTGTGCAATTTAAGAACATCTTGATAAAGGAACTTTCCCCATCAATGAGAAAATATGTTTCGTTTGCCAGTGATTTCATATTTAGTTTGACTAACAGCAAACTTTTTTACACACGGTAAAGAAATCAAAATAGATGCTGCGTGAACACTAGGTAGCCTTAGGTGAGTTTAATGACATTAATTAAATGGTTTCAAATTTATTCAGCTTTACAATGCAATATATGCCAAGATCGGCTTTTACCGGCTTTTTTTGCTATCATGTCCAACGCACTTGGCATAAACGTAAAAGTTCGCAAAAAGGAAAACAAAAGTCACTGTAAACATTGCAACATAAACTGTCAGCAAATTGCATTCTTAAAATAGTTCTAAATATAATAAAGCTGCAACAAAGCAGCAAAGATGCAAATATC